CTCCCCCTTCCTCCTCCTCCTCCTCCCGGCCCCGCCCCCCGAGGCCGAAGGTCACCCCCAAGGATCCCGGGATCAATTCCCGCCTCCTTTGCCCCGAAAATCCCCCTTTTCCACCCAAAAAATTCCCCTTTTTCCACCCTTTTGGCCCCAAAAAAATCCCTTTTTTTTAACCCTTTCTTGCCCTTTTTTCCCCATTTTTTCCCCTTTTTTTCCCGTTTTTTTTCCCATTTTTTTTCCGTTTTTTTTCCGTTTTTTTCCCATTTTTTTCTCCTTTTTTTCCCCATTTTTTCCCTTTTTTTCCCCTATTTTTTATCCTTTTTTCCCCTCAAAAAAATCCCATTTTTTTAACCCTTTCTTTCCCTTTTTCCTCCCTTTTTTTCCCCGGTTTTTCCCCCTTTTTTTCCCCTTTTTTTCCCGTTTTTTCCCATTTTTTCCCCATTTTTTTCTCCTTTTTTCTCCTTTTTTCCCTCAAAAAAAATCCCATTTTTTAACCCTTTCTTTCCCTTTTTTTCCCATTTTTTTCCCTTTTTTTCCCCTTTTTTCCCCATTTTTCCCCCTTTTTTTCATTATTTTTTTATCCTTTTTTCCCCTTTTCCCCCTCAAAAAAATCCAAATTTTTCCCCTTTTTTTTCCCTTTTTTCCCTTTTTTTCCCCTCTAAAAAATCCAATATTTTCCCCTTTTTTTTCCCCATTTTCCTCCATTTTTTCCCAATTTTTTTCCCATTTTTTCCCCATTTTCCCCTCAAAAAAATCCAATTTTTTTCCCCTTTTTTTCCCTTTTTTCCCCATTTTTCCCCATTTTTTCTCTCAAAAAAATTCAATTTTTCCCCCTTTTTTTCCCCATTTTTTCCCAATTTTTTCCCTCTAAAAATTTCCAATTTTTTCCCCTTTTTTCCCCAATTTTTCCCTCTACAAAACCCAATTTTTCCCCCTTTTTTTTCCCCTTTTCCCCCCTTTTTTCCCTCTAAAAAAATCCAAATTTTTCCCATTTTTTCCCCCTTTTTTCCCCATTTTTTCCCAATTTTTCCCCAATTTTTTTCCCCTTTTTTCCCCATTTTTTCCCAATTTTTCCCCATTTTTCCCTCAAAAAAATCCAAATTTTTTCCCTTTTTTGTCTCAAAAAAATCCCATTTTTTTCTCATTTTTTTCCCCATTTTCCCCTCAAAAAAAATCCAAAATTTTCCCTTTTTTTTCCCTCTAAAAAATCCAAATTTTTCCATTTTTTTTCCCTTTTTTCCCTCAAAAAAATCCAAATTTTTTCCCTTTTTTTTCCCCCCTTTTCCCCATTTTTCCCTCTAAAAAACCCAAATTTTCCCCTTTTTTTTTTCCCTTTTTTTCCCTTTTTTTCCCCCTTTTTTCCCCTTTTTTCCCTCTAAAAACCCAATTTTCCCCCTTTTTTTTTCCCCTTTTTTTTTCCCCTTTTTTCCCCATTTTTCCCCAAAATCCCCAAAAATGAAACCCCGCCCCCAAGCCTCGGAAAACGCGGGAAAAGAGGAAGGAGTCGCCCTAAAAAAGGAGATCGGGCTCCTCAGCGCCTGCGCCATCATCGTGGGTGAGTCCGAGCCCCAAAAACCCCCAAAAACCCCAAAATCCCCGAATTCCCCATCCCCAAAAACCCCAAAAACCCCCAAAAACAAAAAAACTCCCGCCAAAAATTCCCGCCAAAAACTCCCGCCAAAAATTCCCGCCAAAAATCCGGGTTTTTAAAGGGATTTTTTTCAACTTTTTTTTCCTTTCTTGTCGTCCCTCGGGAACCCCCCAAATGTGGAATTTTGGGGTTTTTACCTAAAAAAAAATGGGAAAAATAAATTTGGGGTGAAAAAATGGAATTTTGGGATTTTTGGGAATTTTTTGGGTTTTTTTTGGGATTTTTTTGGGGTCAAAAAATGAAAAAAATTCCAAATTTTCGTCCCTCGGGAACCCCCCAAATGCAGAATTTTGGGGTTTTTACCCCCAAAAAAATGGGAAAAATAAATTTGGGGTGAAAAATTGGAATTTTGGGATTTTTGGGAATTTTTTGGGATTTTTTTGGGATTTTTTTGGGGTGAAAAAATGAAAAAAATCCCAAATTTTTCGTCCCTCGGGAACCCCCCAAATGCGGGATTTTGGGTTTTTTACCTTAAAAAAAAATGGGAAAAATAAATTTGGGGTGAAAAATTGGAATTTTGGGATTTTTGGGAATTTTTTGGGATTTTTTTGGGATTTTTTTGGGATTTTTTTGGGGTGAAAAAATGAAAAAAATCCCAAATTTTTCGTCCCTCGGGAACCCCCCAAATGCGGGATTTTGGGTTTTTTACCTTAAAAAAAAATGGGAAAAATAAATTTGGGGTGAAAAATTGGAATTTTGGGATTTTTGGGAATTTTTTGGGAATTTTTTGGGATTTTTTTGGGATTTTTTTGGGGTGAAAAAATGAAAAAAATCCCAAATTTTTCGTCCCTCGGGAACCCCCCAAATGCGGAATTTTGGGGTTTTTACTTAAAAAAAAATGGGAAAAATAAATTTGGGGTGAAAAAATCGAATTTTGGGATTTTTGGGATTTTTTTGGGAATTTTTTGGGAATTTTTTGGGAATTTTTTGGGGTCAAGAAATGAAAAAAATCCCAAATTTTCGTCCCTCGGGAACCCCCCAAATGTGGAATTTTGGGTTTTTTACCCTAAAAAAAAATGGGAAAAATAAATTTGGGTTTTTTACCCTAAAAAAAAATGGGAAAAATAAATTTGGGGTGAAAAATTCAATTTTTGGGATTTTTGGGAATTTTTTGGGATTTTTTGGGTTTTTTTTGGGATTTTTTTGGGGTCAAGAAATGAAAAAATTCCCAAATTTTTCGTCCTTCGGGAACCCCCCAAATGCGGGATTTTGGGTTTTTTACCTAAAAATAAATGGGAAAAATAAATTTGGGGTGAAAAAATCAAATTTTGGGATTTTTGGGAATTTTTGGGATTTTTTTGGGATTTTTTTGGGATTTTTTGGGGTGAAAAAATGAAAAAATTCCCAAAATTTTCGTCCCTTGGGAACCCCCAAATGTGGAATTTTGGGGTTTTTACCTTAAAAAAAAATGGGAAAAATAAATTTGGGGTGAAAAATTAGAATTTTGGGATTTTTGGGATTTTTTTGGGATTTTTTGGGATTTTTTGGGGTCAGGAAATGAAAAAAATCCCAAATTTTTCGACCCTTGGGAACCCCCAAATGCTGGATTTTGGGGTTTTTACCTTAAAAAAAAATGGGAAAAATAAATTTGGGTTGAAAAAATCAAATTTTGGGATTTTTGGGATTTTTTTGGGATTTTTTTGGGATTTTTTTGGGATTTTTTTGGGGATTTTTTGGGGTCAAAAAATGAAAAAAATCCCAAATTTTTCGTCCCTCGGGACCCCCCAAATGCGGGATTTTGGGGTTTTTTACCCTAAAAAAAAAAGGGAAAAATAAATTTGGGGTGAAAAAATCAAATTTTGGGATTTTTGGGATTTTTTTGGGTTTTTTTGGGAGTTTTTTGGGGTAAAAAAATGAAAAAATTCCCAAATTTTTCGTCCCTCGGGATCCCCCTCCCCTCCCCCACCCTCCCAAAATTCCCGGATTTTGCCCCAAATTCCAGCCGGGATTAATTCGGATTTTTTTTAACCCCAAAAACCCCAAAATTTTCCTCAAAAATCCCGATTTTTTTCCCCAAAATTCCCATTTTTTGTCCCAAAAAATCCCCAATTTTTTCCCAAAAAATCCCCAAAAAAACCCCAAAATTTTCCCTAAAAAATCCCAAATTTTCACCTTAAAAATCCCCATTTTTGTCCCCAAAAATCCCCATTTTTTCTCCCCAAAAATCCCCAAAACTCCCCAATTTTTTCCCTAAAAATCCCCAATTTTTTCTCTTAAAAATCCCAATTTTTTTCCCCAAAAATCCCAAATTTTCTACGTAAAAAAAACCAAATTTTTTTCTAAAAATCCCAATTTTTTTCCCCAAAAACTCCCCTAAAAATCCCCAATTTTTCCTCCTAAAAATCCCAAATTTTTCCCAAAAAATCTCCAAAAATCCCCAAATTTTTCCCTGAAAAATCCAAAATTTTCTCCTGAAAAAACCCAAATTTTCTCCTAAAAATCCCCAATTTTTACCCAAAAAATCTCCAAAAATCACCAATTTTTTCTCCTAAAAATCCCCAATTTTTTCCCAAAAAATCCCCAAAAAACCCCAAAATTTTCCCTAAAAAATCCCAAATTTTCACCTTAAAAATCCCCATTTTTGTCCCCAAAAATCCCAAATTTTTTCCCCAAAAATCTCCAAAAATCCCCAATTTTTTCCCTAAAAATTCCCATTTTTTGTCCCCAAAAATCCCAAATTTTCTACGTAAAAAATCCCCAATTTTCTCCTAAAAAAACCAATTTTTTCCCCAAAAACTTCCCTAAAAATTCCCAAATTTTCTCCTAAAAAAATCCAAATTTTCTCCTAAAAATCCCCATTTTTTTTCTCCTAAAAATCCCAATTTTTTTCCCCAAAAACTCCCCTAAAAATCCCCAATTTTTTTCCTCCTAAAAATCCCAAATTTTTTCCAAAAAAATCCCCCAAAATCCCCAATTTTTTTTCCCAAAAATCCCAAATTTTCTCCTAAAAATCCTCATTTTTTTTCTCCTAAAAATCCCAAATTTTCTCCTAAAAAATCCTCAATTTTTTCCCTAAAAATCCCAAATTTTTCCCCAAAAAATCCCCAAAAATCCAATTTTTCTCCTAAAAAATCCCAATTTTTCCCCAAACTCCTAAAATCCCCTTTCCCCCCCGTTTCCCCTCAGGTAACATCATCGGCTCGGGCATTTTCGTGGCTCCCCGTGGCCAAAACCCCCAAAAATCCCCAATTTCCTCCTAAAAAATCCCATTTTTTTCTCCAAAAAATCTCAAAAAAATCCCCAATTTTTTCCCCAAAAAATCTCAAAAAATCCCCAAATTTTCTCCTAAAAAATCCCAAATTTTTTCCAAAAAAATCTCCAAAAATCCCCAATTTTTTTTCCCAAAAATCCCAAATTTTCTCCTTAAAAATCCCAAATTTTTTCCTAAAAAATCCCAAATTTTTTCCTAAAAAATCTCAAATTTTCTCCTAAAAATCCCCAATTTTTACCAAAAAAATCCCCAAAAACCCCCAAATTTCCTCCTAAAAATCCCCAATTTTTTCCCTAAAAAATCCCCAATTTTCTCCTAAAAATCCCCAATTTTTTCCCCAAAAAATCTCCAAAAATCCCCAAATTTTCTCCTAAAAAATCCCAAATTTTTTCCAAAAAAAATCCCCAAAAATCCCCAAATTTCCTCCTAAAAATCCCAATTTTTTTCCCCAAAAATCACAAATTTTCTACGTAAAAAATCCTAAATTTTCTCCTAAAAATCCCAAATTTTTTCCAAAAAAATCCCCAAAAATCCAATTTTTCTCCTAAAAAATCCCAATTTTTCCCCAAACCTGCTGATTTTTCCCCTTTCCCCCCCGTTTCCCCTCAGGTAACATCATCGGCTCGGGCATTTTCGTGGCTCCCCGCGGCGTCCTGGCGCACGCCGGCGCCGTGGGGCCGTCGCTGATGGTCTGGGCGCTGTCGGGGGCGGTGACGGCGGCCGGGGCTCTCTGCTACGCCGAGCTGGGCGTGGCCCTGCCCCGCCCCGGCGGCGACTATGCCTACGTCAGCCACGCCTTCGGGCCCCTGCTGGGGTGAGTGGGGAGACCCCGGGGGGCCTGGGATGGGGGGGGTTTCCCGCCGTTTTTGGTGGTTTCCCGCCATTTTCGGTTCGTTTCCCGCCGCTTTAGGGAGGTTTCCCGCCAGTTTTTTGCTGTTTTCCCGCCATTTTTGGAGGTTTCCCGCCGCTTTCTGTTCGTTTCCTGCCACTTTAGGGAGGTTTCCCGCCAATTTTGGAGGTTTCCCGCCATTTTCTCTAAGTTTCCCTCCAATTTTTGGAGGTTTCTCGCCATTTTTGGAGGTTTCCCGCCATTTTCTGTTTGTTTCCCGCCATTTTTGGAGGTTTCCCGCCGTTTTCTGTTCGTTTCCCGCCACTTCAGGGAGGTTGCTTCCCCACTTCTGTGGGTTTCCCGCCATTTTTGGAGCTTTCCCGCCATTTTCAGGTGGCTTCCCGCCGCCTTGCGTCAGGTTCCCGCCATTTTCTGGTTGTTTCCCGCCATTTTTAGTCGTTTCCCGCCGTTTTTGGAAGGTTCCTGCCCTTTTCTGGGGGTTTCCCGCCACTTTAGGGAGGTTTCCCGCCATTTTCTGGTTGTTTCCCGCCATTTCGAGCGGTTTTCTGCCACTTTGGGGAGGTTTCCCGCCATTTTTAGAGGTTTGCCGCCACTTTGTGTTGGTTTCCCCCCAGTTTGTGTCAGGTTCCCGCCATTTTGAGGGTCTTCCCGCCATTTTTGGGCTGTTTCCCAACATTTGCGTCGGGTTCCCGCCATTTTCCTGTGGTTTCCCGCCATTTTCTCTCAGTTTCCCGCCATTTTGTGTCGGTTTCCCGCCATTTTCTGTCGGTTTCCCGCCATTTTGCAGAGCTTTCCCGCCATTTTCAGGTGCTTTCCCGCCATTTTGCGGAACTTTCCCGCCATTTTGGGCACTTTTCCCGCCATTTCTCTGAACTTTCCCACCATTAATTTAATTTAATTTAATTTAATTTAATTTAATTTAATTTATTTTAATTTAATTTAATAATTCACCCACATTTTTTAATGGATTTTTTTTTAAATAATTTTTTTCGAATAATTTTTTTAATTGAATTTTTAATTGAATTTTAAATATAAATTGAATTTTAATTCGAATATAAATTCGAATTTAAATTGAATTTTAATTGGGATTTTAAATTGAATATAAATTGAATATAAATCGAATTTTAATTGAATATAAATTGAATTTTAATTTGAATTTAGTTTGAATTTTAATTGGGATTTTAAAATGAATTTAAATTGAATTTAAACTGAATTTAAATTGAATTTAAATTGAATATAAATTGAATATTAATTGAATTTAAATTAAATTTTAAATTGAATATAAATTGAATTTTAATTGGGATTTTAAATTGAATTTTAATTGGGATTTTTAAATGAATTTAAATTGAATATAAATCGAATATAAATTGAATTTTAATTGAATATAAATTGAATTTTAAATTGAATTTTAATGCAATTTTAATTAGAATTTTCCCTATAATTTCCCCCAAAATTCCCATTTTTTTTCCCCCGTTCCAGAACCTCCCGGAACCTCCCGGAACCTTCCGGAATTCCGGTTTTTTCCCGTTTTTTCCCGTTTTCTCCCCAGTTTCCTGCGCCTCTGGATCTCGGTGCTGGTGATTTACCCGACCCCTCTGAATCTGATTTAATTTAATCTAATTTATTAATATAATCTTATTTAATTTAATTTAATCGAATTTATTAATTTAATTTAATTTAATTTAATTTAATAATTCACCCATATTTTTTACTGGATTTTTTTTTTAATAATTTTTTTAAATAATTTTTTTTAATTGAATTTTAATTGGGATTTTAAATTGAATTTAAATTGAATCTAAATTGGGATTTTGAATTGAATTTAAATTGAATATAAATTGAATATAAATTGGATTTTAAATTGAATTTTAATTGGGATTTTTAAATGAATTTAAATTGAATATAAATTGAATTTAAATTGGGATTTTAAATTGAATTTAAATTGAATATAAATTGAATATAAATTGAATTTTAATCGAATATAAATTGAATTTTAATCCAATTTTTAATTGAATTTTAATTGGAATTTTCCCTATAATTTCCCCCAAAATTCCCATTTTTCCCCCGTTTTTTTCCCCCTTCCCCTCCCCCACCCCCGGAACCTCCCGGAACCTTCCGGAATTCCGGTTTTTTCCCCTTTTTTCCCGTTTTCTCCCCAGTTTCCTGCGCCTCTGGATCTCGGTGCTGGTGATTTACCCGACCCTTTTTAATCTGATTTAATTTAATCTAATTTATTAATATAATCTTATTTAATTTAATTTAATCTAATTTAATTTAATTTAATTTAATTTAATTTAATTTAATTCAATTTAATTTAATTTAATTTAATTTCGTTTAATTTAATTTATTAATATAATTTAATTTAATTTAATTCAATTTAATTTAATTTAATTTAATTTAATTTAATTTAATTTAATTTAATCTAATTCAGTGTAATTTAATTTATTTGAATTTAATAATAAACCCATATTTTTTAATGTTTTTTAATAATAATTTTAAATAATATTTTAAATAATAATTTTTAACAATAATTTTTAATAATAATTTTTAATAACAATTTTTAATAATAATTTTTTAATGGGATTTTTTTTAATAATAATTTTTTTAATATTTTTTTTAATGGGAATTTTTTTTTTTCCCCCTGGATCTTTAAAATGGAATTTTAAATTGAATTTAAATTGAATTTTTAATTGAATTTTAATTGGAATTTTAATGCAATTTTAATTGAATTTAAATTGAATATAAATTGAAATTTTAATTGAATATAAATTGAATTTTAAATTGAATTTTAATGCAATTTTAATTGGAATTTTCCCTATAATTTCCCCCAAAATTCCCATTTTTTTTCCCCCACCCCCGGAACCTCCCGGAACCTTCCGGAATTCCCGTTTTTTCCCGTTTTTTCCCGTTTTTTCCCGTTTTCTCCCCAGTTTCCTGCGCCTCTGGATCTCGGTGCTGGTGATTTACCCGACCCTTTTTAATTTAATTTAATTTAATTTAATTTAATTTAATTTAATTTAATTTAATTTAATTTAATTTAATTTAATTTAATTCAATTTAATTTAATTTAATTTAATAATTCACCCATATTTTTTAATGTTTTTATAATAATTTTTAATAATAATTTTAAATAATATTTTTAATAATATTTTAAATAATAATATTTAATAATAATTTTTTAATAATAATTTTTTTAATAATAATTTTTTTTAATAAGAATTTTTTTTAATGGGAATTTTTTTTTTCCCCCCTGGACCTTTAAAATGGAATTTTAAATTGAATTTAAATTGAATATAAATTGAATATAAATTGAATTTTACATTGAATTTTAATTGGGATTTTTAAATGAATTTTAATTGAATATAAATTGAATATAAATTGAATTTTAAATTGAATATAAATTGAATTTAAATCGAATTTTAATTGGAATTTTCCCTATAATTTCCCCCAAAATTCCCATTTTTTTCCCCCTGTTCCAGAACCTTCCGGAACCTCCCGGAACCTTCCGGAATTCCGTTTTTTTCCCGTTTTTTCCCGTTTTTTCCCGTTTTCTCCCCAGTTTCCTGCGCCTCTGGATCTCGGTGCTGGTGATTTACCCGACCAACCAGGCCGTCATCGCCCTCACCTTCGCCAGCTACGTCCTGCAGCCGCTCTTCCCCTCCTGCCGCCCTCCCGACAGCGCCCAGAGGCTGCTGGCCGCCGCCTGCCTGCGTGAGTCCCGAGAATTCCCAAAAATTCCCCAAAATTCCCGAAAAAATCCGGGGAAAAACGGTGAAAAAACGGCGAAAAACGGGCAAAAAATGGCAAAAAACGGGGAAAAAATGAGAGAAATTGACCCAAAGTTGACTCAAATTGACCCAAATTTGACCCAAATTTGAGTGGGATTCAGCTGAGATCCCAGAATTCCCAAAATTCCCGAAATTCCCGGAATTCCCAAAAAAAATTGGGTGGAAATGGGAAAAATGGTGAAAAACGGTGAAAAAATGGCGAAAAACGGTAAAAAAACGGCGAAATTTGACTCAAAATGACCCAAAATGGATCCAAATTTGGTCTAAATTTAAGTGGGATTCAGCTGAGATCCCAGAATTCCCAAAATTCCTGGAATTCCCAAAAAAAATTGGGAGAAAATGGGAAAAATGGTGAAAAAATGGTGAAAAACGGGGAAAAAATGAGCAAAAATGACCAAATTTGACCCAAATTGACCCAAAATGACCCAAAATTGACCAAAATGGACCCAAATTTGACTGGGATTCATCTCAGATCCCAGAATTCCCAAAATTCCCAAAATTCCCGAAAAAAATTGGGAAAAAATGGGAAAAATGGTGAAAAAATGATCAAAAATGACCAAATTTGACCCAAAATTGACCAAAATTGACCCAAAATGACCCAAAATTGATCCAAAATGGACCCAAATTTAAGTGGGATTCAGCTGAGATCCCAACATTCCCAAAATTCCTGGAATTCCCCCAAAAAATTTGGGAGAAAATGGGGAAAATGGTGAAAATTGATCAAAATTGACCCAAAACGACCCAAAACGGCCCCAAATCGACTCCTCTTCCCCTCCTGCCGCCCTCCCGACAGCGCCCAGAGGCTGCTGGCCGCCGCCTGCCTGCGTGAGTCACAGGGAATTCCCGAAATTCCCAAAATTCCCGGAATTCCCGAAAAAATCCGGGGAAAAACGGTGAAAAAACGGCGAAAAACGGTAAAAAAATGGCAAAAAACGGTGGAAAATTGACCAAATTTGACTCAAATTGACCCAAAATGGACCCAAATTTAAGTGGGATTCATCTGAGATCCCAACATTCCCAAAATTCCAGGAATTCCCAAAAAAAATTGGGGAAAAACGGTGAAAAAATGGCGAAAAACGGGGAAAAAATGGCAAAAACGGTAAAAAAATGACAAAAACAGACCAAAATGACCCAAAATGGACCCAAATTTGGTCTAAATTTAAGTGGGATTCAGCTGAGATCCCAGAATTTTCAAAAATTCCCGAAATTCCCAGAATTCCTGAAAAAATCTGGGGAGAAATGGGGAAAAAATGGCGAAAAACGGTAAAAAAATGAGAAAAATTGACCAAAATTGACCTAAAATGATGCAAAATTGACCCAAATTGACCCAAATTTGAGTGGGATTCAGCTGAGATCCCAACATTCCCAAAATTCACAAAATTCCCGAAAAAAATTGGGTGGAAATGGGAAAAACGGTGAAAAAATGGCGAAAAACGGTAAAAAAATGAGCGAAATTGACCAAAATTGACGCAAAATGGATCCAAAGTGACCCAAAATGGACCCAAATTTAACTGGGATTCATCTCAGATCCCAGAATTCCCAAAATTCCCAAAATTCCCCCAAAAAATTGGGAAAAAATGGAAAAAAATGGTGAAAAACAGTGAAAAAATGGCGAAAAACGGTAAAAGAATGACGAAAATGGACCCAAAATTGACCAAATTTGACTCAAATGGACCCAAATTGACCCGAATTTAAGTGGGATTCAGCTGAGATCCCAACATTCCCAAAATTCCCAGAATTCCTGAAAAAAATTGGGAAAAAATGGTGAAAAAATGGCGAAAATCGGTAAAAAAATGGCAAAAATGGTAAAAAAATGGGGAAATTTGACTCAAAATGACCCAAAATGGACCCAAATTGACCCAAATTTAACTGGGATTCATCTGAGATCCCAACATTCCCAAAATTCCCAAAATTCCCCAAAAAAATTGGGTGGAAATGGGAAAAATGGTGAAAAAACGGTGAAAAAATGGCGAAAAACGGTAAAAGAATGACGAAAATGAACCAAAATGACCCAAAATTGACCAAAATGGACCCAAATTTGACTGGGATTCATCTGAGATCCCAGAATTCCCAAAATTCCAGGAATTCCCAAAAAAATCCAGGGAAAAATGGGAAAAATGGTGAAAAAATGATTAAAAATGACCAAAATTGACCAAATTTGACCCAAATTGACCCAAAATGACCCAAAATTGATCCAAAATGGACCCAAATTTAAGTGGGATTCAGCTGAGATCCCAGAATTCCCAAAATTCCTGGAATTCCCAAAAAAAATTGGGAGAAAATGGGAAAAATGGTGAAAAAATGGTGAAAAACGGGGAAAAAATGAGCAAAATTGACCGAATTTGACCCAAAATGACCCAAAATTTACCCAAAATGGACCCAAATTTGACTGGGATTCAGCTGAGATCCCAGAATTCCCAAAATTCCCCAAAAAATTTGGGAGGAAATGGGAAAAATGATGAAAAAATGGTGAAAAATGAGCAAAAATGACCAAATTTGACCCAAAATGACCAAAAATGGACCAAAATTGACCCAAAATTTACCCAAAATGACCCAAAATGGACCCAAATTTAAGTGGGATTCAGCTGAGATCCCAGAATTCCCAAAATTCCTGGAATTCCCAAAAAAAATTGGGAGAAAATGGGAAAAATGGTGAAAAAATGGTGAAAAACGGGGAAAAAATGAGCAAAATTGACCGAATTTGACCCAAAATGACCCAAAATGACCCAAAATTTACCCAAAATGGACCCAAATTTGACTGGGATTCAGCTGAGATCCCAGAATTCCCAAAATTCCCCAAAAAATTTGGGAGGAAATGGGAAAAATGATGAAAAAATGGTGAAAAATGAGCAAAAATGACCAAATTTGACCCAAAATGACCGAAAAATGATGAAAAAATGGTGAAAAATGAGCAAAAATGACCAAATTTGACCCAAAATGACCCAAAACGACCCAAAATTGACCCAAATTTGGTCAAAATTTAACTGGGATTTTCCTGTGTTATCCAGAATTCCCAAAATTCCCGGAATTCCCCAAAAAATCTGGAAAAAAATGGGAAAAACGGTGAAAACATGGTGAAAATTGACCAAAATTGACCAAAATTGACCAAAATGACCCAAAATGACCCAAAATTGACCCAAAATTGACCCAAATTTGACTGGGATTCACCTCAGATCCCAGAATTCCCAAAATTCCCAAAATTCCTGGAAAATCCAGAAAAAAAAATGAGGAAAAAATGACCCAAAATGGCTCCGAATTGACCCAAAAATAACTCCAAAAATTCCCTTTTTTTGCCCTAAAAATTCCATTTTTTCACCTAAAAATCCCAAATTTTTTTTACCAAAATCCCCAATTTTTTCCCCAATTTTTTGAGTCCATTTTCCCCCTAAAATTCCCATTTTTTTTCCAAAAAAAACCCTAAAAAAATTCATTTTTTGCCCTAAAAACTTCATTTTTTTTGCTAAAAATCCCATTTTTTCACCTAAAAATCCCATTTTTTTCCCCAAAAATCCCAGTTTTTTTTTTCCCAAAATCTTCATTTTTTCCCCAATTTTTTAATCCATTTTTCCCTAAAAAATCCCAATTTTTTGCTCTAAAAATCCCATTTTTAACCCTAAAAAATCCATTTTTTCACCTAAAAATTTCATTTTTTCACCTAAAAATCCCATTTTTTCACCTAAAAATCCCAAATTTTTTCCCCCAAATCCCCAATTTTTTTTCCCAAAATCCCCAAATTTTTCCCCATTTTTTTGAGTCCATTTTCCCCTTAAAAATCCCATTTTTTCCCCAAAAAACCCCTTAAAAATCCCAATTTTTGCCCTAAAAAATCCATTTTTTCACCTAAAAATCTCATTTTTTTTGCTAAAAAATCCCCAAATTTTTTCCCAAAATCCTCAATTTTTTCCCCAATTTTTCGAGTCCATTTTCCCCCTAAAAAATCAAATTATTGCCCCAAAAAAAGCCATAAAAAATCCATTTTTTGCCCTAAAAACTCCATTTTTTCACCTAAAAATTTCATTTTTTCACCTAAAAATCCCAAATTTTTTGCTAAAAATCCCAATTTTTTTTTTCCCAAAATCCCCATTTTTTCCCCAATTTTTCGAGTCCATTTTCCCCCTAAAAAATCAAATTATTCCCCCCAAAAAAAGCCGTAAAAAATCCATTTTTTGCCCTAAAAACTCCATTTTTTTTGCTAAAAACTCCATTTTTTTTCCCGAATTTTCCCAAAATTTGGGTTTTTCACCCCAGTTTTGCTGACGTGGGTGAACTGCGGCAGCGCCCGCTGGGCCCCTCCCAAACCTCATTTCCACCCCCAAAAAAATCCCGTTTTTCACCCCAAAAATGCTCCAAAAATTCCATTTTTTAACCCTAAAAATCCCATTTTTTGTGCTAAAAATCCCAAATTTTTTTCCCAAAATCCTCAAATTTTTCCCCAATTTTTTGAGTCCATTTTCCCCCAAAATCCCATTTTTTCTCCCAAAAAATCCCTTAAAAATGCCATTTTTTATTCTAAAAATTCCATTTTTTGCCCTAAAATCTCCATTTTTTCACCTAAAAATCCCAATTTTTTTCCCAAAAATCCCCAATTTTTTTCCCAAAATCCCCAATTTTTTCCCCAATTTTCCAAGTGCATTTTCCCCCTAAAAAATCAAATTATTCCCCCAAAAAATGCCTTAAAAGCTTCATTTTTTGCCCTAAAAACTTCATTTTTTCACCTAAAAACTTCATTTTTTTCCCTAAAATCTCCATTTTTTCACCTAAAAATCCCAATTTTTTTCCCAAAAATCCCCAATTTTTTTCCCAAAATCCCCAAATTTTTACCCAATTTTTTGAGTCCATTTTCCCCCCAAAATTCCCATTTTTTCCCAAAAAAATGCCACAAAAAATCCATTTTTTGCTCTAAAAACTCCATTTTTTCACCTAAAAATCCCATTTTTTGTGCTAAAAATCCCAAATTTTTTTCCCAAAATCCTCAAATTTTTCCCCAATTTTTTGAGTCCATTTTCCCCCTAAAAAATCCCATTTTTTCCCCCAGAAAATCCCTTAAAAATCTCATTTTTTGCCCTAAAAATCCCAATTTTTTTCCCAAAAATCCCAAATTTTTTTCCAAAATCCCCAATTTTTTTCCCAAAAATCCCAGATTTTTCCCCAATTTTTTGAGTCCATTTTCTCCTTAAAAATCCCATTTTTTCCCCAAAGAAATGCCACAAAAAATCCATTTTTTGCTCTAAAAATCTCATTTCTTCACCTAAAAATTTC